AAGGGGAGGTGAGAATGGATCCGGTAAAAGTAGCGGCTGTTCGTGACTGGCCAGTCCCTACTAACCTTCGGGAACTACGAGGGTTCTTGGGATTTGCAAACTTCTACCGACGCTTTATCCGGAATTTTGCCAAAATAGCACGACCTCTGAACGACCTGACGAAGAAAGACACCAGCTTTACCTGGACCGACACGCGACAGAAAGCATTTGATACCCTTCGAGAAGCCTTCATCTCCGCACCGATCCTTGCTCTATGGACACCAGACAGGCCTACTCGAATCGAGGTAGACGCATCAGGCTTTGCCACAGGAGGCGCCCTTATGCAGAAGCAAGACGATGGCCAATGGCATCCGGTAGCCTTCAGATCGGCATCCATGCAGCCAGCGGAACGGAACTACGAAATCTACGATCGAGAAATGCTTGCTATCATTGAAGCACTGAAGGATTGGAGGAACTTTCTAGAAGGACTCCCTCAACCATTCGACATCATTACGGACCATTCGAACCTCGAATTCTGGCGCTCTGCACAAGATCTCACCCGCCGACAAGCCCGATGGGCCCTCTATCTGTCACGGTTTGACTTTCATATGATCCACCGCCCTGGCAGAGTAAACACCCAAGCTGATGCTCTCTCCCGCATGGCAGTTCATCATGTATCGGACAGCGATGATAACCGACAACAGACAGTCCTTAAACCTGGCCACTTCGTAAAAATTGCAGCTTCGATCCTACAGAACCCCTTAGAGGATCGTATCCGGAAAGCCTCAGAACGGGAAGCACAGGTATTGGAGGGTCTCAAAACAGTCAAAGAGCACGGACTACAGCGCTTGGCCAATGGGATAGCCGAATGGGAAGAGGACAATGGGTTGGTCTACTACCGAGGTCGAGTATACGTACCAGCAAACGACGACCTACGCACTGAGGTACTCCGTCAATGCCACGACCATCCAACTGCAGGACACCCCGGACTACACGGGACACTCGACTTGGTCAGTACCCATTTCTGGTGGCCTACGTTGCGCTCTTTTGTGGAAAAATACGTTGAGGGATGCGAGGTTTGTGCCCGTAAGAAGATCCAGCGACACCCACGGGCCGTAACTCAACCATTAGATGTACCATCCGGTCTATGGGAAGAGGTAGGGGTTGACCTGATAACACAGCTACCTAACTCCCAAGGCTACGATGCTGTCTTGGTTTGCACAGACCTGTATGGAAAACAAATTCACGCTATTCCTTGCACCAGCTCCATCACAGCTGAAGGCGTTGCCGATATTTACTACCGAGAGATCTTCCGTCTCCATGGTCTTCCTCTTCACTTTAAATCCGACCGCGGACCCCAGTTTGCAGCTAAACTCATGCGATCCCTTCTCGCTAGGCTAGGAATTAAATCAGATCTAACCTCTGGATACCGTCCTCAGTCTAATGGCCAAACCGAACGAGCAAATCAGGAAGTAGAGAAATACATCCGCCTCTATGTAGGACGACGACAAGACGACTGGGCAGAGCACCTTCCCATGGCGGAGTTTGTGATTAACTCACGGACTCATTCTGCGCTAGGCATGTCCCCGTTCGAGCTAACCTATGGCTATCTTCCCCTGTTCAATATCCCAGTGGGCCAACGCAGCGGTATTCCAGCTGTGGATGACCGTATACGGATTCTCCGAGAAGCGCGACAAGATGCCGGAGCTGCCTTACACCTAGGAAAGAAACAACAGAAGGAGGGATACGAACGCGGGAAGCGGAAAGCTCATCAATTTAAAGTTGGAGACCTAGTCTGGCTCAGTGCAGAGGACATTAACCTTCAGCTTTCCAGTGAAAAGTTAGGAGATCGACAGCTTGGCCCTTATCGCATTCTGGAGAAAATTGGCCCTTTAGACTACCGCCTTGACCTTCCCCTATCCCTAGATCGCCTCCATCCCGTCTTCCATGTTGATAAACTATACCCCTGGAAAGGTAACTCCATTAATGGCGAAATACCAACACCACCAGAGCCGGTATACTTAGAGGATGAAGACGAACCGGAATATGAAGTAGAGGAGATCTTAGACAGCCGGGTTCGATGGAAGAAATTGGAATATTTGGTTAAGTGGAAAGGTTACGACGCAGGGCACAACTCTTGGGAACCCGCAGCCAACCTCAGTCGAGCACCAAAAATTGTTCGGGCCTTTCATAAAAAACACCCAACAGCGGCAAAGCCTTGACCATCGAGGGCAATGGTCATAAGGAGGGGGGTAATGTCATAAAGTACGCAGCCCCTATCATTTTCCTTTTCTCACCGTCTCGACGCCTTTACTTGTACGATACATCATCCCATCACTGTCAAACCCCCATCGATTACTGATCCATCGATTACTGATCCATCGATTACTGATCCACCTGACCCATCTTCTCCTTCTACTGGCTTCCGCCACCTTCCTTGTTCCTAAACTGTACAGTATTACATCGTTGTTTCTCGCAGACCGGATTATGTATATATAGCCAACCCTCCACTGCCTGGTCCCTTATCTTGACCTCTCTGTCATTATCTGGGACCAGGTATGTGCTTACTTATTATTACCTATGACTACGATACTCAATATATCTCTGTCATTATCTGGGACCAGCTTGCCGCCGTTCTGCTTAGTCGCTCTGCCTTGTTGCCTCGTCCAGTTGCTCCGCCTCACCGTTCTGCTTAGTCGCTCCGCTTTCCCGCTCCGTTAGTCACTCCGCCTCTGCCGCTTCGTGACAGGATCATTCTTCAAAATCTGATTGACCAAACTACTTCTGATACTCCACCACAACTGTACAATCCCAATCTCTAAATCAGAATCCCAATGGTGTCCTGGATAATAGTAGACATTTCCACATTGGACTAGTATACCCTTCCTTGGGCTATACAGAATATTACATTAGATAGAACTTATACAATATTAGAAACTACTCACACAAGTTGGTTTTTGACAGTGTTTAGTTTTTGTTTACGCAAATAGGGCAGTGCATGTCTGAATTGATTGAAGTTGTCATATTCTTGCTGTACATCACACTCATGACACAGGAACTCCTCAGCAGATTTGTCATAGAACCACATTGTAAGACAGGCAGTATGGGTATACTTGCTGCACATGCTACATTGGATAGAGTCTTGTTGAATGGACTCCTGATATCCATTTGCTGCAAGAAATGGGTCAGAATTGGTCTTAGGGTAGGTTTTGGTATAGTGAGTTTATGTTGTAGCATGCTAGGAGCAGGCTGGAGCTTGAAGAGAGCTACGGGAACCGCAACCGAGGACAGGAATGACCTAGTAGTGGCTGGGATTGAGAGATGTGACCCTTGAAGGGGTTTCTATAAGGTCCAGGGAGGTCCCTAAGGTGTAGGGAGTGGAGGTAGAAGTAACAGGAACTTGGTAGTGTTGCGTAGTAGGAGTTGTACTTGCTAGAACGTTAACGTAAGATTGAATAGGTCGTAGTTGAAGTGGGTCTCGAATGTGTAAGCTCCTGAGAAGGTATACGCCTGGGAACTGGGGCTGAGAGGTGAATGTCCTCAAGTGTGGGAGGTTGTAACGGAGAAGCGGACTGAGGATATTGATCAGATTTCACATAAAGAAACCAAAAAGTTTCCCGTTTGATCAATATTCTATTGATTGCAAGAGAAATTTTGTATTTCCCACAAGAGAAAGATATTCTTTCCCATAAAGTAAAGATAATCTTTCATGTTAGGTAAATTTCACATTGCGCGCTTGTAAAATTTTCAATTTTACCTTGGCAAAAACAAATAGGTTCAAGCACACCAAGCATCTACGTGAACTTGTAATATAGCCGCTCAAAGCTAGCAGTACTACAAGTAAAATGATCCCCTTATAATCGATTTATTAGCCATGGCATGGAAAAGGAAAGCATTTGAAAACATCTTTGGCATTGAAAAACATTGAGCAGCATCTTCCGATCTTGAGATTACTCAGGATCCTGCAACTATTTGTTTTCGCCAAGGTAAAATTGAAAATCTCATAAACGTGCAATGTGAAATTTACCTAACATAAAAGATTATCTTTACTTTATGGGAAAGAATATCTTTCTCTTGTGGAAAATACAAAATTTCTCTTGCAATCAATAGAATATTGATCAAATGGGAAACTTTTTGGTTTCTTTATGTGAAATCTGATCAATATCCTCAGGGAAAAGTATTTAATTACAGTGATCTTGGAGTCCTTGATACACTTACTGTAGATTTGTTTTATAGGGACATTTATTTCTGTATTGAGTATCTCAAAACAATGCAATATGCATGCTTGGCTAAAATTTCCAAGTGTCAGCTATCAGTACTGCAGACATATAAGCAGATATGTCAGATTTTAGAACTCATTTTGAGTGAAAAACTTCCAATTTGATTGTAAGTAATGTAAGCAATTGCATTATGAGTGGAAGAAGTACTGGTACATGTACAAGACCTAGTCATCTATCACCTCTGATAATAAATTTGGCAGTAAAATCCAAAGTACAGTAGGAATGCCTGAGATAGTTTGGTGTGACAAAATTTGAGCACGTGGACCACTAGCGCGGATCATCCCGGGTAGCTTTTATCCAGGTGATACATAACACTGTCACAGGTGTATCAAGGACTCCAAGATCACTGTACTTAGGGGAAATCAGCAATTTCTCCCCAACATTTCCCTATTTCCTGGCCAGGAAAACACTGCGGGGATCGATGTGTTTCCTCACTATGGAAAGGCTGAATATATAGGGAGGTTTGGTACATAAACCGCTCAATTTCAGGGTGGGAGAATATTTAAATTTTTCTTCCATAAGTAGAAGCATCTTATGGAGTCAATATTAAGTGATTAACAAGAATATCCTACAATGAACTTCTTTAAGGAAATTATCTTATAATTTGTACCGATTGTTCAGACTTTAGTGGCCCCGGTCACTTGAATGTCATTTAATTTATCCCAATAGAGTAAATGGAGGTGGTATTTGAAGGTTGTACTGAATGATCACTCGATGTTATTGCTAGGAAAAATTCAAATATTATACAAGTAATTGCCTCATGTAAAAGGCAAGGTTTTTCTGAAAAACCTCCCAGAGCCTATGCGTACCCGTTGTCGGGATGTCCAGACGTTCGGACGTCACCGAAGTCGACATATCAAAAGGTCGGGATGTCCCTGATGTCGGAATACGTGATGTGTCGGCATATGTGATGTGTTGAGCTGGAGACATACGAAGGACAATCATATTCTATGGATCCGTCTACTCGAAATATACATGTACATGGATCTAGTATCTTGGAGCTTGGAGGGTTTTGAGGATCTTCAAGTGCTTGAGGACTTTCTGCTTGAGAATTTCTGTGTATCTGATTGTTCGTCCATTGAGGACCTGTTCCGTTGGCACGTATCTAGATGATTCTAGAATAACTAATAAGTATTCACCTGTTGAGCACCAAAAGTCACAGACACCCATCTTTTAGTCTGTGTATTGTACATATTACAACTCAAACATTACTTCCAGATTCAAGATTGTCAACAAGAAGACACAATTTTGATGTTATGATCTACTTAAACTATCGAAATGTCAACCAAAATGCTTTAGAAAGTGAACAACCACGTACCTTCACGAAACAGCAGCCCTCAAAAAGATCGGATAAACAATTGTGGTCCAGACGACGTGCAAAGGTCCATAGAAAACGAATTTTTCGATGTGCGCTCGCTGACCTGTATTTTAGACATATATAGGATTATCTACTGAGAAAGTGAAGTGCAAATGCGTACAGTTTTGACAATAAATTCGCGGGCAGTCAAGACATTCCATCTCAAGCAGAAGATGTGCCAAGGACTCTAGAACAGACCGATGAGATGTACAGAAAGTAACTATAAGATTCAGAAAGCTCACCGGCTCTCCATCTGTTTGCGACCCGGATAGGCGGAAACCATGCTCTCCATGGGCAAGGACACTCTTTATCCCACTCCTCCTGACATCATACAAAGTCGTGTGACATCCCCACTTTCCAGGAATCACCATTGATGTAGGCATATAGATATCCTGGACCATCAGCATCTGAAATCACCCGAATCTCTCGCATATCGTAGCGTTGTTGTAGCTCCCCGGAGGACCAACGCATAGGTGCTGGGTGAGGAGGAAGAATGGGGAAGGAGACGCTAAAGTCTGCGCGGTGATAGGACCGATATTGAGAGTTCCTGGTATTTGAAGGGAAGGACCTGCAAGTAGACACGTCGGGATGAGGCATAAGGTGAGCTGTGTAGGTTACAGACAGGCGAACGTTATTGATGTCCAGCCGCTGAAGATTCCTGACATTTGAGTAAAAGCGCAGACATGGTGAGATGAAGCAAAAGGCGAGGCGCGTAAGAAGGCATTTAAGTTGGCCGTGAGGAAAAAGTGTCGCCAACAAACAGTTTGTAACCGAAAGTTCAAAGTTCCCTCATTGACACGCTATAGGCAAGCGGAAGCGGTACGATGGCAACAGCGTGCAGTAATAATAGGATGGTGGTGAAAAATAAGAGGTAAAGCGTCTGGGCAGCCAGAGGGGATGAAGGGTGAGGTTTAGGAAGTGCGAGAATTGATACCTGTTCTATAGCAGTGCTATTTGATGGGATCAAATTTTCGACACCATCACCAACAAGATCATGAAGAAGGACAACAGTAATGGTCTTTTAAATGAATTTGCGTCTACATAAGACGTCTCAAGACATTATGGGCACGGGTCACATTATTGTAAGAATGAACGCTACGTTCGTGAAGGAGCAGAAAAAAAAATAGATTGAAAATACATATGTTGTTGGGAGGTCAAAGCAGACTCTCACAAATACTGTCATGTCTGCTTGCCTTGCCGATGTTTGTAACTACTCGGCTTTGCACTTGTCTTACTCTACTCTTGTACTACTATGTTCTGCAGAATCAAACTCTGCTCACAGCTCCTGACCTCGAAAGTCGCACCACTAAATCATCATTATTGCTATGCACGCAATGGTCAACAACTCGGACTCGCATTTGGTAAAGCACTCTTTAAATGGTCACAACTCTCAAGGAATAACACTTGCCCAGCCCGATACTCCACTATTGTCTATTCCTGATCGCAGCGACCATCACAATCCCGCCATTTTTACCAGCACTGACGTATTGCTTGTAGCCGGGGAGAATCCAGAGGAGGCGCGTTCACAGCATATGTTTGAAACCAGGTGACAACACATCATGGTATGCTGAATATGCTTGTCTTTGTCAAGCACATCTCTCACTTTCTTCATCATAGAATACAACTATACACCGAGATGGTGTCGCCTTCAAACACATGGACGAGGTAGGTCATAGATCAACATGAATTTTGTGCAAGTTATCTCCATCACATCTTCCAATTTAGCTATTGGCCAAATTGAAATTCGAAGACACGATTGACGATGAAGTTCAACCAAGTCCGGTTGTGAAACTTCCTTGGATTAGTCCACTCACTTCCAAACTTCTCAACAATCCAAAAGCAGAGACTTAAGAGTTTCTTATTTAACATACGGTGTTGTAGATCTTATATTGTGCAGGACTCTCGATCAATACTGCTACATAAAATCTCTGGAATCTATGACTCCATGAGTGCACCTGTCACGCCATGTATATTCTTTCACAAGGAGCTTCTCAATGGCACCAAATGAAATGGAAGAGAGCCTGAAGCCAGTTGCTCGTACGCCCTTGTCCCCCACAATCTTTTCCAGACCTCCGATTATTGGATGTAAGAATATCTCCTTGCCATATGCAAGCCGTTCCTGGGAGTGGCAGCTCGTTTCATCTGGGAAGCGAGGAAGGAAAAGATCAGCAAAGCAATCCTCCCACTCTGAAGAAACGATTCAGAGGCGTGTCAGAAACGCTTGACGCCTCAGATGGCCATTCATTGTCGACTGAGAAACTGATCGATTGATTTCCGGAAAGATATAGGGCATGATTTGATAAAAATCTGTCACTATCTAATGCATTTCTTTGGCAGAGATATATATGACCAGGTGTTTCGGTCAAAGGTTATACGAAAAGCCCAATATGTCTCGTCAAGCCCAAGAAGGAGCCGTTCAGTGGATCCATGTCCGAAACAAAGTGAAAGTACCCCAGGACTAGGTAAGCTTGCCAATGTCTTTGATCATTGATGATCTTTCCCTCCCTCGAACTGTCCGCCAGAGTTTTGATGATGTTCCAAGGTGGCAATGTCTCCATAAGCACTGTTACAGTGGTATTGATATTTGTGTCAATCAAATGTCATCGAACGTACCCATCTTTTGAACATGCGAGGACACGGCCTCATTAGAAAAGCTACCTCCTCCATAGGTATGTTTGCCGTGTAAGCGGAGAGTTCCTCAATCAAAGACATGTCCCAATTAGCTAAAGCAAAGTGGAAGATTTGTCTGGAGTGACTGTGGAAGAATTTCCTCAGTCAAGCAAAATGAATTTCAATGGAGGAGAATATGAGTTGACCAAGGTTACCTGAATTCTGGTCGCATGGCAGCAATTGCCTGGTACATTTCATATTTTTCTGCTGCTTCGGCCACTCTCAACAGTAAGAAGAAATTGATGTGCCCTAAGGTTGGACCATCTGCTGCGACGTATTGGAATAGAATCTTCAGGACATCAGAGGGTTCAGAAATGTGCGCGTCCGCTTTGCTGGAAAGAATAGCGGGGGGAAATCCACCACCAGCAACATCGAGTGCCTTTTTGAGCATGATGAACTTCTGGTTATCGATTGATCAAAATACCAAAGTGCTAGAACAGACTGCGTACGTAGTCAGATTTTCTGCAAATCAACGTGAAGGATTGAAGACTATGAGTACCTTCTGCACCTGTTTTTGCCTGTATGATTTCGGTTGTTTAGCATCCATTGCGATTGCGCTTGTGGTACACTAATATTCATGAATTGTGAGTATCAAACATTACAGGGTGTACTCACCTGGATAGGATGATACACCAAAATTATCTATTTTCTTCCATCTCCGTAAGGTTATGCTAGTAATTCCTCTATTAAAAAGGTGATGAGTTGCGATTGAGAATGTCAACTAGAGGAATGAAGCACTACAGGGCGTCAATCATACCCTACGGTAACGAACCTAGCCGATGTCACTCAACTCATTTACATATATCGAAATTACGAATCCATGTATTCTCGTTTTACATAATTACGGACTATGTTTTGGGCCTATGTCTCCGATTCAATTCACTCCACTGCTTTCGTTCAAGAGACGGTGCAAGACCGACACTTTCATTCTGCCATTGCGCCAGTTATATTTAACCACCTGCGCTATACGATACAATACAATCTATCTGGTGCTTACGCCTGTAGATTTCCCCTGTTCCAAAGTTCTTTGAGGGAGATCATCAGATAAAATTTGAGGTTCTGAAAATTTGTACACACCTGGCAAGATCCGCAGGGAAAACTAATTTCCTAGGTGCACAAGGGTGGACCAACTCATTGACAAATCCCGTCCCACCTTTTGCCCAGCCAGGCTCCTGCTTCTCGAGCCATTCTGCATTGTAGAAGTGGGCAGGTAGCCCAACAACATATCTGCTCTTTGAACTCTTGTCATTATTATCCATACAGAGCCGGGGTGCAGCTCCTCGCGTGAAACCGAACTGGGGTCCTTCAAAAGAGGATGGACCCTCAAGATGACAATAGTCTAACAGCCTGACCCAATTCTTGAGCTGTTGGCTTCGCCAGCATGGCTCCTTGATGTTGTAGCACATACTTGCTTCATCCATGTCAGGTTCCTCTTTGTTGGAAGACATTTTTACCACCCCTAGTTCGTCGAAGTCTTCAAGATAGGGTTCAAGCGCTGGAACGACAAGTATCACATTCCTTCGTTGTTGGAACAACTTTGCAGAGGTCTCGTATCAACGTTGATCAAAAGCTATTGAATAAAAGCTCACAGTGTTTTTCCTTTGCCATCTCTTTGCAAAGACCGCATGTGGCAAATTTTTATCCTCTAGCATTTTTTGTTTCTCCAGCCAGATTCCATGGAGCATTTTTAATTGTACAAAGAAAGCCTCACGCAAGGCATCACGAGCTTTAATGTTGGGTTTGGTGATTAGCCTCTTCTTCACGGGGATATCTATGAGAACATATGATGCGCCCTTGTTCCACGCTGATTTAGGAACACCTGCGATCCAATATCGAAAATTATCAACAGTGCATGGGCGTGCGAGTAGATCCAACTTGAATTTTTCAGCAAATTTCTTGGCTTCCTCATCGAAAACCTCATTTTTGTAGAGGTCTTTTCCCTCCATAACCTCGTTGAACCATTGACGAATTGTCTCCTGCCAGAGTAACTCATCATGTCTGTTGAGAAAAGGTCATAACAGTATACACGTACCTTGTTTTTAAGCTCTTGCTGTGGCCGATGCTTTACAGCTCCTGAACAAGGACTTCCTTTCTTTTTTGAGGCATAGCTGAAAGGAGTTTCCTGGGTCGAATCTCCCGGGTCATCAGCATCGGTGTGGTTGCCATCCGGTTTGTTTTTTGCATTTGTTGTGCCAGTGGTGTCACTGTCACCCTGATGGCGCTCCTCTCTATCAATGTCCATATCCTTGCTCTTGACTGACTGAATATCCAATGCCTCCAGAAGATAATCCAATATGGTCGAATTCTGCTGAACGCTATTAGTCAACTTGTTGATTTTTGCATCCTGCTTGTTGACGACTTCAGCATTTGATGTCCATATACCGTTGTAAAGGGTATGCATCAGCTTGGTTTGATGTTCAAGCAGTGTTTTCAACTGATGGAGGGTTTAGAATCTCTGGGAACAGGGAGCGCGGGATACTCACCTTGTCTTCGCCGCTCTCTTGATCTTGGTTGAAGATGGGTTGAGAAGACACTGCATGTCTTTTCCTTTTGGAAGGTGGATGCTAACAAATTTTTATATACCCGCGTCCAATACATTCACTGTAAACATTACACACCTGTAGTGATATGTCACTTCCAAATTGTGCGGCTGTTGGATTGGTATCAGGATCAGCCATCGTAGCATCTGAGTTGCCTGGCGTTTGGGGAGGGT